TCACGAGTAGTAGATATGTGTGACTTACTGGGGACAAAATATAAGTAACTCACCAAGTGATCAGAAGAGTACTTACCTAGGGAACAGACGAATGGCTTATCCGGGATAAGATTAATGGCTTACTCACAATAAAAAAGATAAAAAAAATAGATGTTTTGTAAGATTCTAAAAATACAGATAGTTTCGATGTATTTTGTTAGTAGAAAACATGTGATCACTGATAATCTATACACGGTTGTGAATATGGTGTAGTGACAAGCCAAAAAACAGTGTTCCTGGAGGTTTACTCCACATACAGGATAAAAAGACACTAAACAATGAATACAGCTTTGATCTTATCTTCATTTGAATAATTCATTAATACTATATATGAAATTTGAAGCACGTCTCATCCGGCCCGACAGCCCAAATTCTTGAGGAAAGTGTGAGATGATAAATATGTTTGCTTGGTTGTTATAGAAACTGTCAGGCTAGGAACTTGTTATTGTCGTTGAAGTCAGCTGTAAGAATCTCACTCGGGTAAAAGTCATATCACCATGTCAAAGGGTATACATCGAGTTCAAATACCATAAATTGATTTTCACAGATATTTAATTACATAAAATAAATGTCAACTGATTATCAGCTACATAATCGTTATTTCTGAATAACGGTGTATTACGTTAGTAAGTGATGTAACGGTCTGTACAGAAACGCTTAAAACGAGGCCTAGAGTATTTATATTAGCCTACTCTACTTGGTTAACCAAAGTGTTTAGTTGTTGTTACCTTCTGCAATATGTTGCCTGAATAGAAAAATAAACAAACAAAACAGTGTTGTTCCAATGATTAATGAAGTCGAGTTAGCTCAAGTTAATAATTTTTCTTAACCACATATATATTAAAGTTGTTTTTTTTTAGTTCGTTTCATTTAGATTTGAGATTGTAAGTACCATAGGCATTTTCTTTCAGTCTAGGACGTTACCACTAATATAAATGCCATCAGTTTAGATTAACTACGAAGTAGTAAAAGTCGCTCCCCTCCTTCGTTAGTTCAGTAGTAATTACAGAGACTTGCAACGTTAGAAACCGGAGATCGATCCCCCTCGGTAGACAGATCGGAGATAACCCATTGTGTAGGTTTGAGATAAAACAAACAAACAGTGTTAAACACTAGAAGTCGCCTCATTTCGTCAATATGAGTTATAATAAACTTAACAAGGAACATCAGATTAGTTTCATTATTGGCTATAAACACTAGAGGTCGCATCCATTCCGTTTACAATACATTAATTTAAGCAGTAGTAGTGACATCAATGATTATTGATTGCTGTTTAAAGAATTATTGAAGAATACCAGTTTCAGGGTAACTGAGGTGATGTGTCATTCGTTCTTTAACATTTCATAACTTCTAAAGTGATTGATTGCAATTTACTGTGTAGAATGAAACACCTAAAGACGGTCGCAGAAGCTGTAATAACTATGAAAAACTTCATGGAAAAACTCTGTTCGTCGCACTGATTATTTCCTTATATTTTTGAATAGAATACGATTCCAACGCAAAATGATTTTAATTTTAATAACTTGTAGGATTTAAAATACTAAAAGAAATATTAAGTTGTAATGTATTATAATTCACCGAGTATCTGTTATTCAAATTAAATATTCTCTCTTTAATCTTGAAGCAATTTTCATTTTGCAGTTTGATCATATTTTGTGCGAAATGAAGGTAATTTGAAAAGTTATACACACTCTACTAATCACAATTTAATGAGATATATATTTTCTCTCTCTATCTGTGTATGTAAGTGTCGTCTGGTTAACCTTCTCGTGTCTGTCATCTAATCAGCCTTACCAAGCCTAAAGAGTTTGGCCTACTCTGAATAATCTTGGGTGTGTCTCGTCATGCTGGCCTCTCATGTGGAACTGATGCGATATTTTTCCACGTTTTCGATATTTGTAATATTTTATTTGGTTTGGTTTAACAACGTTATATTATTCTTAGGTAGATCTTTTCATCCATTTTAAAAATCAACGCAAGACCCATAAAAGCTGAGATACTGAGTTATAACTCTAATGTGAAATCTACTTTATTTTCTTATTCTTGAGCTGCCAAAACGCATCCCAGTTCATATTCCTCGGTAAAAACCAATTGGTTGTATAACACATTGAGGAAACTTTAGCAATGACTATCTTTTATATTTTTGAACGGATTCTTTTAGATTGTACAACAAAGGAAATAATGGGAATTCCAGACCACTTAGTGATAACCAAAAAAGTTATCAAGTTCCACATTTAGCGTAACTAACGTTAAATACCCATCTTTCCAATTTGTGCTCCGGAGAATCAGCGGAAAGTAAAATGAATTACAAAACGGCGGACAATGAGTAACAATGCACGAAGAAAACAACGTTCCTTGACTTGCTTATACTGCTATGACTTGGTGGCCAGAACTTTAAGCTCGTAAGCTGCAGGTGGCGGGATCGAACCCCGGCACCAAACATTTTAACCCTTTAAATCATGGAGACATTATAAAGTAACGATTAATTCAACAATTCATTAATAAAAATCAACAAAAGAGTTGGCGTTAAGTGGTTCTGACTAACAACTTTCTCTTTAGTATATCCCTTCCAAATTGGGACGTCTAGCGCAGATAGCCCTCGAGTAACTCGTGCGAAATTCAGTAAAAAAAAACAAAAAACTTTCCACACATTTAGCAAGCTCGGATCCGGTCTTGTTCTTCCGCCTGACTGTGGCATTATTAATTTATTTGATAAGGTACAAAGGAACGCCTAATAGTTGTTACAGCTTCATACTAAAAGGCTGCTTAATATTGTTAAAACTGTCTGTACAATTGAGGAATAAGATGAATAACTTGCTGTTCTATTCTATCCACTCAAACTGCACCTGGTGTACTTTTTACATCGTAATGTTAGTGAATTGGCTTGCTAAACTCTGTAACCTGATAAGGTAATAGCATAACTGGGGTAATCCAGAAAAGTACTGCAGATCCCGGCGGACAACAATAGAAGTAACAAGTGTGTAACAGATGGATTTAGATGTTCTGTATTGTGTATTTAGTGTCACATGAGGTTGAAAATCAAGAATGGATTCATTGGGACCAAACGTGTTCTGTACATTGTATTTGTAGGTGATAATAAATGTTTAGTTTCACAATATATGTACACCATATTGTATTACATTACATCAACATATTCAGATGTGTCTTATGTATTTTCACACCAGATTAAACGTGTTGTTCATCGTTCTTCCCTAGGATTATCTTGTATTCATTACATTGATAATCACTTTTGGTTTTCTTTAAAGATGGGATGGAACACTTGTTTAGTGCTCTTTAACCTGATAGTTAATGTTGTAACGGAGGAAACGTTCAACCTTAAACTAAAGTTGGAAATTTTCACCGATGCAAAAGATAGGAAGCAGCCTCCAGTGTTGATTTATACTAGCCGATTTTATGATACTTAAATTTTCTTCAATTCCGAATTGTAGCTAACATACACTGTTTCTCCGAGTCAAACGTATTTCATTAACTAACAATATTCACCTCGTAACCCTATTTATAATTCACATTAACAATAATTATGATGATTACCGTTCAGAATAATATTCATTACCTAGCAGCAGAGTGTAAAATTGTAACGATATACTACTCGGCTGTTTGTCATGCTTGAAACTGTTAGTAATGACAAATTACCCGGCTGTTTGTCATGCTTGAAACTGTTAGTAATGACAAATTACCCGACTGTTTGTCATGCTTGAAACTGTTAGTAATGACAAATTACCCGGCTGTT